CGCATTTGTAATTTTAAAAAATTATTGATTAACACTAGGTATTTTTTTATGCCACTTTTCAGAACGATAACTGTCATTATGGTCTCCCTGTGGCGGAGAAAAAATAAGAGTGGTTTGGTGACAGCCTGTGACCTACAGCGTGGGAAGGTCAACCCCCGGCAGTGCTCCCGGAACGCGCGAGGCGCGGAACTCGCGGACGCCGGCTCACGGGGAGCCGGGGAGGCAGAAGCTGACACGCGCACGCGAGGACAGCAGAAGCGGCCGGACCCGGAAGTGGGGTTGCCAGTGGCGGCCGGGGACCTGCTGCTGGAGTCCCCGTGAGGCCGCAGGTGAGTGGCAGGGGGCGGGCCCCGCGCCGGGAGGCTCTGGGGAACGGAAAGCGCGGTCCATGACCGGGTGTATTTCGCGAATGCCGTCCGGGCACGGCCTGACGGGCTGGGCGCGGGCTCGAGAGGGGGTCCCGGACCGGGTTCGGCATGCTCGCTGTCTTCCGTCCGGGGGACTCTGCTCCTGGGCTTGGCGGGGCGGTTCGGTGGGGTGCCAGTGCCTACCCCCGTGTCTGGAGGCAGCAGGCGCCGTGGTTAACCCTCTTCATCGAATCCTCCCACTGTTCTTTGAGTCGAGCTCTGATGCCCGCAGGGAGTTCGTGCAGGTCCGCACTGTCCATGCCCAGTCTGCCTCCTAGGTCCCTGCCCCGCCTCGAGGACGCCTGGGGTCCCTGAACTGTTTTGGTAGTTGAAAGAGGGTACTTTGGGAATAAATGAACCAGAATCCAGGGTCAGTGCACCTCGCGGAAGGAATAGGGAAGATGATGGCCTCTTTGTCCACCCAGTCTTTGGGAATGGGATCCAGAGGGCCATTGGGCTTTGTGGCCAGTGAGCCCTTGAATTCCCTGGTCAGGGTCACCTGACACTAGTCTGAATTGTTCTGAACCTCACTCAGTTCACTCGTTTCTCTTCTTTTCTTTTCTTTTCTTTTTTTTTTTTGAGAGGTTTTTACTATAGGGCGCGTGCACTCGCCAGAAAGACAGAGACAAGAGAGACAG